AATATTATTTTCTGTTAATGATTTATACCAATTTTTCATTTTCAAATGCTAAATATAAAAAATATTTTATTAATAAGATAGTTTTACTAAACAATAAGAAGACATCATTAAGCTGGTGAAAAATTTGCTTTAAATTAATTAAAATTATTTATTTATTTCAGAAAGAGTAATTTTTACTATACATTGTATACTTTGGTTATGGGATTGGCAACTTTTTTTGAAGAATTTTAAGAATTTTATAAATCTTTACTAATTAATTTTGTTTGAAATTTTCCAAAAAATTAAAGGGGTTTTGTATTTACATGCAACAAAATTTTGGTGATGTTTAAACGCGTTTTGCGTAACTTATCTATGTAACGTGCATAAATTTGGATTTTTGAGCCCGGTCTAATATATAATTTGGCACGTGATTCCCCTTACCCTTAATATTATATTTTGTGAAACTACTGCGCCACAAGTTGCGCAGTATCACACGTACAATTACTCATATTCATATTTCTATATTTATATATCAAGAACTTGTTCAGCTGATGTAAATATTTACTTTAAATTATTAATTATTATTTGTAATGCTCAGTTGACCCAAATATTTATTTTACATTAATAAGCATAGTTTATTGGACAAACTAGAGTAAAAGTCATGTTATTTGTAATACCCCAAGAGGTATAAAAAGACTTGGTTTTAGACCAAGTCAAAAAAAATCATGTTCATAACAATCTTTTAATTATTGATCTAATAATTAATACTTCCTAACACACTGTAATAATAATATTATTATCGCTAATAAAACACATAACATATTTTACCCTAAAAAGAATAATCTCTAAATAATTAATAAACTACAAAGGGTAAACCTTTGTGGTACTTAGCAAGTAACCAACATTCTAATCATTGAGAAACATCTCAAGGGAACGCCTTTGGGATATAATTATATCTATAGAACCTAGGGACCCTTTTATCCAAGAGGATAAAAGTTATATTTTTATTAATTTTGACCATAAGTCAGTGAGTAGGCTGTGTGTCATATATATTTAAATAAAGGAAATTGACTGTAAGTCAGTGAGTAGGCTGTGTGTCAAACAATAGAATCAACTGTAAGTCAGTGAGGAGGCTGTGTGTTGAACTATAAATAACCTATTAATTAGGAAACTCGGATTGCACACTTGCAGTATCCATTATGTTGTTTTTATTTAAAAAAAACAGAAAAATTTTTTTAATATATATTCAATTTAAAATTTTTAAAAAATAGAAGGGTTACTTTGAAAAGTTAAGTTTTAAATTTTTATGTTGCGTAATTATGCTTAATCACGTGAGAGGGATGGTCATATTCCAAAAATTCTAAAAATTATTGTTTATTATCGCCACCAGGGCTGGAAATAGTACTTTAAAAATCTGGATTTTCCTTTTAAAATTTTTAACTTCCGGAAAAAAAGAGTTGCCAGATATTTTTCCTTTTGATACGGTAATTGATAATAGTCTGATTCTGATTCTATTCCTTCAAAGATGAGCAATAAATCTTCCCGTACGATAAAATTGCATTATAATACGAAATAAACTACCATCTCGTATCTATTAAATATTCACTTCCATTTATTGGTCTCAATAACTCTACGTTACATTCTGCAAACATTGTTCTTAATAACGTGTGTGGATATGAAGTGCCAAACGATATGTTTCATACTGTATATTATATTTGTTTGGCAATATTATGTGATAATGATAATGATGTTTATTATAATGCTAATTATATGGCAATGATGATAAAGACTCTAACGATATTATTATAATAATCTTTACACCCAAACATTTAACATTTTTATTGTGGCTATCACTGAATTTAAAGTATCAGCAATGACATCAACAACTCCTTCTCTGTGCATTTCTTTCATTTCTTTACTTTTTTTTTACAATTATTTTTTTAGGTAAAAAAAGGGGTTTTTTTAATACAAATTGGTAAATAAATTATTCCATGAAAGCATGTGATGACTTTTTTTAACGAAGGAAAAATTAAAAATGTTTGTAGAAAAAGGTATCGCCATTATTATCCATATGATAATAAATAGTACGTTGGTTTTATTTTAATAGCTTTTACATTCACACACATTTAGTTTCATTTCAAGTAAATTTCGAAGGAGAAATTCTTTAGATAAAACAGTATTGGAACTAAAGGAACATTTTGAAGAATTAACTAATATCCTCAAAGAATATCAAAAATCGATATTTAAAGATAATATCTTTATTATAAACAATCTTGATGCTAATGACAATTAAAATCTATAACTTGATTGGTTATTCAATTTTATTTTTTTTTTTTTAGTTATATTGAAAGATGCCTTCACATCACGAGAAGCAAGTAATATTAAAAATGGTACCAAGATGAAGTTAATGGGTAGTTCACAATAGGAAACCCATGATTTAAAGAATCTGAATCAAAATCATCGATAAAACGCGATCAAAATACGCGATTAACGCAACTATTAGAAATACGGCTTTCTATTTTTCTTTTCCCATAAATATATATTTTTGTATATAATGATTTTAGCCATATAAAAATTTGAAAAAATTTCAAGATTTAAAATCACAAAATACACATTTCATCAAATAAGAGTAATTGAAAAAATTCCAAAATCTGAAAAGGCGCGCGATGATCGAGGAATAAAAACCATAATGCAAAGATATAAATTTTCAGTTGAGATATGGATTTTTCCAGAATGTTTCTATCATCCTAATAATACAAAAATTATTGGGATATATATAACGTCAACAAAGGAGAATCAATCTCGTTGATATTGAGACATTATGCTAATATTAAAAAAATTTTATTGCATGAGTTAACACATAATGTTTGGGATGGACACGATGAAAATTTACATCAACTCAATAGACAACTTAATAAAGATGCCGGTAAGTTAATAATAACAATAATAATAATGTTGTTAATATTTTATTTTTTCTACATTTTTAATTTAATTTGCTATAATCTTTATAAATAGTCTCATTAGATTGGACTTTATCAGATGGCAAAAAACTTTCCAATGAGGAGTTTTATAATCCATCAGAACAAGAAGAGATTGATACTAGATCATGGCAAGGTGGTGCTTATGTGTTAGGCGGTGATACTGAACGTGCTAAAATGCTTTCTAAACATGAACTTTAGCTGATGCTGCATGAGTGTGATTAACAAAAGAAAGAGAAAGAGTTAGATGAAGGCTGTGGACCTGGATCCACCATTCATCTGAATCTACATTAAGAAATAATTTAACATTTTATTTATTATTCTTATTATTATTATTAAATTATAATTATTTCAAATCATAATACATAAATAAATATTGTTAAGGGCTAGTTTAGGTGTTAAAGATCAGAATCTATATTTTGTTATATTGATAAATAACATCTAATGCTAATATTGATTTGTTTATGAGCTCATTCAATTCTTATTTTTTTAACCTCTGTCCATTTATCATTTGCTATTAATTATCAGACCTTCAAAGATTTTTTTAGTTGCCGGTCGGCTTCGTTCTTCAAAATTTGACAATTATTGTTGACGAGATATGCATAATGGTGATCATCATCAAATGTTATCATGCATCAGGTCCAAAAAAAGCATCATATCAAAATGTCGTCTTTCTAGGCCCAGTATATGGAATCAGGCTGTGATAGATAGTATCGATTTAAAACAAGGCACATACATTCAAGTATGGCAATGTTTGTGATATTACTCGAAACATCCCTGTCACGAGTGTCTTCTTTTATTTAGTTTATCAGTTGGACATTTTTTTAGATATGTTCTTTATGTGAAAAACCACAACGCATGTACGCCATCAAAGTATGCATTTGCTTGTCAGTGCAACAAGGAATTCACAACAAAGTTTATATAAATACGTAAAATTCTATTCAAGGATTGAATGGGCTATTAATCGTAGTAGTTCTTCGAATATAATGCGATGATGAATCTTGGTATATCCCAGTACGCAGGTGTTGGATTTAAAAAAAAAATGGCATGCGCTAAGAATTTATTTTCTTTCGAGATTAAAGATTAAAAGATTAAATTAAAAATAATTCTATAAAAAAAAAATTTTTAAAAATAATAAATACTAATTGTCCGATTTAGAAGCCAGGCATGAATGATCAAAAATTTCAGAGTCCGACAATGAATTTGTAATAGACATGTGTAATTTAAGTTGATCCCTGTTTTGAGAGTAACCATATTGCCAAGACAATTCGGGGATCACAGATTTTAAATAGGATCCAATATCAGCACCATACTTGTGTATAAATAGGTAACCAACAGATCCAAATGGTTTAAGAAGTTTCTCAGTAGTTTCCATTATCGAAGAACTTTTAATAAAGTGAAGACCAAAACCACAAAATGGATTATAACCATTCTTACTAAAAGTTACCGTTATTTCAGTTTCAAAATTTGCCATAACTTCTTTGATCACATTACTCAATGTTACAACAAATTCATCTAGTTTCTCTGTTACCGGGTTACAAGAAAATGCAAGTCCTAAATCTTTCCGAGTTAAAACTGCATATGATGATTGTTTACATAAAGGGGTTTGATAGGGTAATTGATAATAGTCTAATTCTGTTTCTATTTCTTCCTTTGAAAATGGCAATATTGATTTATTTTTTTGGCCAAATTCAAAAGATGGCCAATAAATCTTCCCTGTACGATAAAATTGCATTATAATACGAAATAAACTACCATCTCTATCTATAAAATATTCATTTCCATTTATTGGTCTCAATAACTCTACGTTACGTTCTGCAAACATTGTCCCTAATAATGTGTGTGGATATGCTGTAAGCGTTGAACGATATGTTTCATACTGTATATTAATATTTGTTTGGCAATATTATGTGTTAATGATAATGATATTAATAATATTTATCATAATGCTAATTATATGGCAATGATGATAAAGACACTAACGATATATTATAATAATAACCTTTACACCCCCAACATTTAAGATTATCGTTTCTTCTTGAAATATATTTTTATCGCACTTATTATTATCACTGCGACTTTTATCGATTTTTGAATTTAAAGTATCAGCAACGACATCAACGGCTCTTTCTTCTCTGTGCATTTCTATCATTTCTTTTTTTTTTTTTTTTTTTTTAAAGGTAAAAATTTTTTTTAGTATAATAATAATTAATATATATATATATATATATATAATTAATAAAAATAATAAAGGATTAACAACCGGTAAATCAATTACCCCGTAATAAATAATTACTATTAATATTACTATTCTAAAAAAAAATGTACTAGAAAAATCTTTTCTATTAATAATATGTTCCAAAAAATTATAAATAAGGCATGTGGAGACTTTTTTTAACCAAGGAAAAATTATTTTTATCAAAAAAAAAAAAAAAAAATGCTTGTAGAAAAAGGTATTGTTATTATTATTGTCTATACAAATAAATAGTACGTTGGTTTTTATTTTATAACTTTTACATTCTCTCATTTATTTTTTTTATTATGATTTTTTTTAGTTTCATTTCAAGTAAATTTCAAAGGAAAAGCTCTCCAGATAAAAGATTTCCCTTTTGATAAAACAATATTGGAACTAAAAGAACATCTTGAAGAATTAACAAATATTCCTAAAGAATATCAAAAATTGATATTTAAAGGTAAAAGACAATAATATCTTTATGACAATTAAAATCTATTAACCTAAAAAAGTTAAAATTTATCTATTTTTTTTTTTTTAGTTTTATTGAAAGATGCTTTCACATTACGAGAAGGTAATATTAAAAATGGTACCAAGGTGATGTTAATGGGTAGTTCACAACAGGAAATCCAAAATTTAAAAGAATCTGAATCAAAGTCGTCGTCGATAAAACACGAATCAAAATATGCGATTAACGTAACTATTAGAAATACAATTTTCTTTTTTTCTTTTCTCCCCTCTTGTTAACTTATTTATTTAAAAATACATATTTTTGTACATAATGATTTTTAGCCATATAAAAATTTGAAAAAATTTCAAGGTTTAAATTCACAGAAATACACGTTTCATCAAATAAGAGTAATTGAAAAAATTCCAAAATCTGAAAAAGCACATGAAATACTTGAAAGGTTACGCGATGATCGAGGGATAAAAGCCATAATGCAAAAATATAAATTTTCAGTTGGAACGTTGCAAGAGATGGATTTTTCTAGAATGTTTCTATCATCTAATAATACAAAATTATTGGGATATAACGTCAACAAAGGAGAATCAATTTCGTTGAGATTGAGAACTGATGATTTGCAAGGATTCAGACATTATGCTGATATTAAAAAAGTTTTATTGCATGAGTTAACACATAATGTTTGGGATGGACACGATGAAAATTTCCATCAACTCAATAGACAACTTAATAAAGATGCCGGTAAGTTTAATAATAACAATAATAATAATGTTGTTAATATTTATTTTTTTCTGCATTTTTAATTTAATTTGCTATAATTTATATAAATAGTCTCATTAGATTGGACTTTATCAGATGGCAAAAAACTTTCCAATGAGGAGTTTTATAATCCATCAGAACAAGAAGGGATTGATACTAGATCATGGCAAGGTGGTGCTTATGTGTTAGGCGGTGATACTGAACGTGCTAAAATACTTTCTAAACGTGAACTTTTAGCTGAAGCTACATTAATGCGATTAACGAAAGAAGAGAAAGAGTTGGACGAAAGCTGTGGGTTTGGATCCAACCCTTCATCTGAATCTACGTTTGAAAATCATTAAGAAATAATTTAATTACAATAGTACAAGAAAAAGGAAAAAAAAATTGAACAATCCATAAACATTTTATTATTATTATTTGAACTATAATTTATTTTAAATTAACTAATTAATCATCATTCATTAGCATGCATAGTAAAATCATCATTATCATAATATAATATAATATAATAAATAAAAAATCATTTATTCTTCATGTCAAATTTTTTTATTAATTTCTTTCAAAAGATTTTTATTTTTCCCCGAAGCGGGCGGGAGTCGAACCCGCAATCCCCAGATCCGAAGTCTGATGCCTTATCCATTAGGCCACCGCTCCTGTGACATCGTTGTTTATCTTTATTTTCTTCTATAATTTATTTATTATTCAAGACATGATTTTCTGCGGAAATAAAGTAAAACCATGTCGGATCATGTAACGAGAATCTAACTTCTTAAATCAAATTATTGAATTTTAAAGAAACTAACTAAAAAGATAATTAAAAAAATTAATAAAGCTGGTGTTTTTGTAATTTTATGTTATTGTTTTATTATTGAAGAAAAAAGAAAAAGAGAGTTTACCTTTTCTAAAAATATATTAGCGCAAGCGAAAAAATTAAACATTAAATCTTCAATTAATTCGAGTGTGCTTCTGGAACTGACAATATTAGAAAGTAATGTTCTTTGTTGTGCTTTTCTTGTCGTTATTATCATGATCTCTTTTCACAAGATTTTTTCTTATAAACAGGACCACAAACTCGATTATCATCTACTGTTATTTTTTCTCCCATTTAATAATAGCATAGTTTACAGTAAATACAAAACAACTTTGTAATTACCAGGATTCTCTTCAGTCACCAGTTTTAGATTCATTATATTAAAAAAAAATTATTATTATTATTATTATTATTATATTATCTGAAATATCTGAATTGAAAAAGCGAAAATTTAAAAATGATTTCCAGAGATCATCATCATCGATTAAAAATCTAAAATGACAACCAACACTGATAATAACAACGATGTTGTTGTTGATGATAATGAAAACAACAACAAGAGCCTCTCATCCAAAATTATATCAAGAACCAAAATTTCTAATGAAGATTACAAAGTGGTTCCCCCATTAAACTTTGCAATGGTAGCTCCTGGAGTTTATAGAGCTGGACATCCAAATCGACAAAACTTTCCTTTTCTAAAGAAATTGGGGTTGAAATCAATAATGTATATATCTATATCTATATATTACATTTATATGATACAATTAGCATGAATTTAATTAAATATATGTTTTTAATTCTTAAAAGGTATTTATCTGCTGATGACTTTAATGAAGACTTGAAACAATTTGTTGAAGAACAACAGATTAATGTTTTCCACTATAGAATTGAACCTAACAAAGTAAGCAGCAAGCAAGCAATTACAACATTGACAAAAATAATTATATAATATATATATATTGAAAAATTAGTAAAATTTTTTTACGAATGAAAAATTAGGAGCCGTTTGTTGAAATTGAACAGAAAGAACTTAGTAGTGCATTAGTCAAAGTTTTAGGTAATTGGATGGGGATGGGATGAATCATGCATAAATAATAATAATAATAATAATAATAATAATCATTGTTATTTCTTGAATTAATGATAACAATATTTAAATAATCTGAAAAAAAAAAGAAAATTACAGACAAAAGAAATCATCCAGGTATTCAAAAGTAAAAAATTAAAGAGAACAAGAAATAAATAATCATTGACTCTAATTTTGGAGTGTGGGAGAGAAAAAATTCTAATTAATATTACACACACACATATATTTTTTAATCTATCTTTTGACTGCTTAGTATTAATTCATTGTAATAAAGGAAAAGTATGTGTAAAAAGACCGTCTTTGTTTTTTTTTTTTGTCATAATAATCAATCTTTGGAATATTCTTACATCTTACTTATATCTTTAACATATTAGCATAGAATAGGTTGTTTAATAGGATGTCTTCGTAAATTACAAAAATGGTCAATGACTTCGATATTTGATGAATACAAAAGATTTGCTGGCACAAAAGCTTTGGCTGATCAAGAGGTATATATATTATAAAAATCTTATTAACGAACAAAAAAAGTATCTATTTTTTTTTTTACCTTCCATTAATTATTACATCACACATAGTTTATTGAAATATTTTCAGAAAGTGTTCCTTATGATCAAAAACATAAACCTGACTGGCTATAATTATAACGATTATAATTATAATAATCAAATAAATATATTTACAAAAAAAATATCAAGGTAGGTAAAAAATATGTGTAATAAATAAGAATTTTTTATTTATAATAATTAAAGTTCAAAATTTTTTTTAAAAAATTACTTTCTCATCTAATTCTAAATTTTCTAAATGGTAATTTTTTCTTCCAAAACATTGAATATTTATTATTAATCTTCATTTAAATATTCAATCAAATATTGTGGAATTTCTTTTTCCAGTCTTCTCGTATCTGTACTAATACTCTTAATATATTCTTTTAGTGAATTTTTTAATTTTGGATCTTGTTGTGATAATACTTCTATTATATGAGCTTTTGGTAATGCTAATAAAAATGAAAAATTATTTGATTGTATCTATACAAAAAACAAAAAAATTTATGTGTTATTATTTATTATTGTACAATTAACTTATATTTAACAATATATAATATATTATACAAATAATGGCAAACCTTAAGACAAAACTCTGCACAATATAAAATAAACCCTTTACGTAACATGTCATTATCCCATATTTGATTAATATGACGTATCAATAATTCATTCACAAAACTTGAAATAGTCTTGAATGAACGAACACTTAACGTTACCTATTAATAATAATATTCACTACTATTAATATTATTGCGAGAGATTTCTTTTTGAAAAAGAATACTAAATAAAATCACACATACAGTTCTCATAAATAAAGTAGGCATTTCAGACATTATTGATAAATTATGTAGTACTGCTGCTAAAACTTGAGATGTAAAAATAGTTGGTAATAAAAAACAAATATGTATTCCTAATTATAAATAAATGAATAAATAGATTATTCATTATTAAAAAAAATATATATATGACGTTATTTGATTATTTACAAAAAAAAAAATTTATTATTATACCTTCAGCCAATTGTTTTAATGGAACTGACATCTTATGGATTGCCACTAGTAATTCTATTGGGGTCACTGTTGAATTCGTAGGATTTGTAGAACCATGAGATGGTGTTAAAATTTTATGAAAAACTTTTTTAACAAGATCACGTTGTTTTTCACTGGCATCAAGTGTTAATAAAACTTTTGGAAGATGTTTTAAAATATCTTCCTGAAAATAAAAATAAATTTTTTAAATAATGATTTAATTAATTAAATTAAACTAATAAAAAATAATAGTAATGATGGCACCTTTTCAAAATATGCAATTGTTGGAAAAAGGAATCGTCCATCCAAATCCCTTTCAGCAATTACTTCCTTCACAGTACTGACCAATTTAGGCGGTAGTACTAAAAAAATAATATTTTTATTTAAAAAAAAAAAAAGAACACGTATATAAAATAAAAAATATTTATTAAAGTTACCTACCGTTATTGTTTGTATATACAATCAGCATTCTTAATACTAAATCTTGTGTACCATCTGGGAAATTCTGAAAAGTTTCCAGTAACCCATTCAATCCTATAATCTCTACTAATTTTGATGCGTATTTACGAATCATACTTTTCACTGATTCATTTGTATTCACATAAATATTCAATAATCTAGCATGATAAATATATAATATTGATTGATTAATTAATTAATCAATTAAAGATTTTATTTTTTATTTGGAAGGAACTTATTAATAAAAAATCTTTACTCTTTGTATAAGTTTTCTTTCTTTGAACATAAAGAAAAAAATAAATCAAGATGTTGCTCGACATCTTGTTGTGTCCATTCTCTCGTCATCATCTCGTCATCATCCTTATTATCATTGACACCACCACCACCACCATCATCAATTATATTCATTGCAACATCAACTGAATCAACAAAATGATAATGAAAATCAAAAATTGGTGGTGGTGTTTCATTACAAAGTTGCCTTAATGATTCTAATGCAAATGTCTCTATTTTTCTAGAAATGCTAACATGTGTAGGATACCATTTATTTGTAACCATTATTGCATGTCCACGTATCTTATCATCTAAAAACATATTAAGCATCAATGGGATTTTTAATACTTGCATGTGCGCATATTATTTATTATTATTTACACACCTTTGTAGAGACAATAAGCCAGTAATATTTTCAAACAAAAATTTCTTGCAGGTGGTCTTAAGTTAACCAATTCACTCAAGGTTGAAAATCCAAGTGACATTCTATAGAAATGTATAATAATAATAAATAACATATCTTGGTAAAAATAATCAACAAATAAATTCTAATAATATCACCTGTCAGGATCATTGCAAAATATTTTAATTCTATTAACTACATCTTCGAATATTTCTGGTATATCTAGTATAAATTGTGTAAAAGTATGATCTTCAAGGGCAGGCATGATTCTGTCTAATAATCTATTTAACCATTTAGTATAATTTGGCTCCTAAATATATAACTTTACTTAATTACTTTTTATAACTTAATTGCAATATTTTTTGCCAATTAGTTTACATACATATGAAGAGTTTTCATTTTGCATTATGGAATCATGGTACCATTCTTCATCAAGCCATGTTAAAGCATAGTCCATTCTAATTTATTTTTATTAAGAATATTTTTATTTTTATTTTTATTACTATTATTATTTGTAATATTGTTATTAATATATTATACAGCATTAAAATTTTTACCTGTTTTTAAAATCTTCAACGATATATTGTAATTTCATATCTCTTAACTCATCAAGATTTTCCCTTCGTTCCATTGAAGTTTCAAGACCTCTTGTCAACAATCGTGAAGTCATCACGTGTAATTGCGACTTTGTAAATCTTTTACCACTAGACAAAGTCGTCGAGACTATACTAGATCGTTTGTTACTCTTTGCATCTGCAGGTATTACCCCTTCAACTTCTAACATATTCTTAAGTGCCATTTTGACAAAATTGTGTGATTCCTCTTCTGATAATGTTGATGGTGGCGGGAGTATATATTGGTACTTAAATGCTTGATTGACAACTGTTGCAAGTGATGGTGATGGTGATGATGATGATGATGATGAGGCAATGTTTTTTTCAACTGTTGCTTCATCTGATTTAATAATTTTTTCTTCTGTGTCTAATTTAATGTTTTTCTCTTCGACCGGATAATCCATTTTCTCATCTTCATAATCAAAATTGTCTAATTTGTTAGGTTCTGATCCATCTTTTGCCATATCAACAACAGAAGGAAAATTTGGTGATTTGGATATTTCTGATTTATATAAATCTTCGTCTTCATCATCTTCATCATCTTGTTTTCCCCCTTCCCTATCCTCCATTTTCTGATCATTCTGATCATTCTCATCCTTGCCCTCATCCTTGCCCTTATCCATATCCATATTCACATCCTTATCCTCATCATAATCTTCTTCTTCTTCAACATCAGATTTCAACCTTGGATCAAGTATTTCACTTTTTTCTTGTTCAACATCTACTACCATTGATTGATTTTTTTCGCCTTCTAATATTTCCTATATTTTAAAAGTCATTTAAATTGTAATTTTTTTAGTAAAAAAAAAAATCAAATGTGAATAAAACACCAACTTGTTTAAGTTGATCCAATTTTTCTTGTGATATATTTTGTAAAGTTAATTGAATTGCATCAATGATAAATGATAAAGAAAACTGCGTCGGATCAAAATTTTGTGGAGAAAATGGTTCCAATGAGGGATGTTTTATTAATTAATTAACTATATTTGTTAAGGAAACAATACAAACATATATTATTATTATAAATTAAGTCGTTTTTTTTTCATTTTCTCAAAAAAAATTTTAAACAAAAGGATATCATAGCCTGAACTTGGTAAATTTCCATTTAACAATTCGTTATCTTGTTGTTGTTGAACAATGATATTAATAGAATAATGAATTCTTTGTCGGATAAAAGATCCATGATAGAATGCAAACTGGTAAATTTCAAATAGTGGTAAAAATAATTGAAAACAATTAATGCCCAGTTTTTTTGTTCTTTGTAACAACACCGCATCAGCAGCTGTGTATTTATTATAACATCCAGTTCCTAAGTTGCTATGTATATTGCATCCTTGCAGGGTTCAATTACTGGAGCATCAACGAGTGATAGTGTGTTATTAACATACCAATGTTGTATCAGAATCGTATTGTTCGAATTATCTTTCTCTTGTATTTTTCCTTCAGAATCTATATTTTGTTATATTGATAAATAACATCTAATGCTAATATTGATTTGTTTATGAGCTCATTCAATTCTTATTTTTTTAACCTCTGTCCATTTATCATTTGCTATTAATTATCAGACCTTCAAAGATTTTTTTAGTTGCCGGTCGGCTTCGTTCTTCAAAATTTGACAATTATTGTTGACGAGATATGCATAATGGTGATCATCATCAAATGTTATCATGCATCAGGTCCAAAAAAAGCATCATATCAAAATGTCGTCTTTCTAGGCCCAGTATATGGAATCAGGCTGTGATAGATAGTATCGATTTAAAACAAGGCACATACATTCAAGTATGGCAATGTTTGTGATATTACTCGAAACATCCCTGTCACGAGTGTCTTCTTTTATTTAGTTTATCAGTTGGACATTTTTTTAGATATGTTCTTTATGTGAAAAACCACAACGCATGTACGCCATCAAAGTATGCATTTGCTTGTCAGTGCAACAAGGAATTCACAACAAAGTTTATATAAATACGTAAAATTCTATTCAAGGATTGAATGGGCTATTAATCGTAGTAGTTCTTCGAATATAATGCGATGATGAATCTTGGTATATCCCAGTACGCAGGTGTTGGATTTAAAAAAAAAATGGCATGCGCTAAGAATTTATTTTCTTTCGAGATTAAAGATTAAAAGATTAAATTAAAAATAATTCTATAAAAAAAAAATTTTTAAAAATAATAAATACTAATTGTCCGATTTAGAAGCCAGGCATGAATGATCAAAAATTTCAGAGTCCGACAATGAATTTGTAATAGACATGTGTAATTTAAGTTGATCCCTGTTTTGAGAGTAACCATATTGCCAAGACAATTCGGGGATCACAGATTTTAAATAGGATCCAATATCAGCACCATACTTGTGTATAAATAGGTAACCAACAGATCCAAATGGTTTAAGAAGTTTCTCAGTAGTTTCCATTATCGAAGAACTTTTAATAAAGTGAAGACCAAAACCACAAAATGGATTATAACCATTCTTACTAAAAGTTACCGTTATTTCAGTTTCAAAATTTGCCATAACTTCTTTGATCACATTACTCAATGTTACAACAAATTCATCTAGTTTCTCTGTTACCGGGTTACAAGAAAATGCAAGTCCTAAATCTTTCCGAGTTAAAACTGCATATGATGATTGTTTACATAAAGGGGTTTGATAGGGTAATTGATAATAGTCTAATTCTGTTTCTATTTCTTCCTTTGAAAATGGCAATATTGATTTATTTTTTTGGCCAAATTCAAAAGATGGCCAATAAATCTTCCCTGTACGATAAAATTGCATTATAATACGAAATAAACTACCATCTCTATCTATAAAATATTCATTTCCATTTATTGGTCTCAATAACTCTACGTTACGTTCTGCAAACATTGTCCCTAATAATGTGTGTGGATATGCTGTAAGCGTTGAACGATATGTTTCATACTGTATATTAATATTTGTTTGGCAATATTATGTGTTAATGATAATGATATTAATAATATTTATCATAATGCTAATTATATGGCAATGATGATAAAGACACTAACGATATATTATAATAATAACCTTTACACCCCCAACATTTAAGATTATCGTTTCTTCTTGAAATATATTTTTATCGCACTTATTATTATCACTGCGACTTTTATCGATTTTTGAATTTAAAGTATCAGCAACGACATCAACGGCTCTTTCTTCTCTGTGCATTTCTATCATTTCTTTTTTTTTTTTTTTTTTTTTAAAGGTAAAAATTTTTTTTAGTATAATAATAATTAATATATATATATATATATATATAATTAATAAAAATAATAAAGGATTAACAACCGGTAAATCAATTACCCCGTAATAAATAATTACTATTAATATTACTATTCTAAAAAAAAATGTACTAGAAAAATCTTTTCTATTAATAATATGTTCCAAAAAATTATAAATAAGGCATGTGGAGACTTTTTTTAACCAAGGAAAAATTATTTTTATCAAAAAAAAAAAAAAAAAATGCTTGTAGAAAAAGGTATTGTTATTATTATTGTCTATACAAATAAATAGTACGTTGGTTTTTATTTTATAACTTTTACATTCTCTCATTTATTTTTTTTATTATGATTTTTTTTAGTTTCATTTCAAGTAAATTTCAAAGGAAAAGCTCTCCAGATAAAAGATTTCCCTTTTGATAAAACAATATTGGAACTAAAAGAACATCTTGAAGAATTAACAAATATTCCTAAAGAATATCAAAAATTGATATTTAAAGGTAAAAGACAATAATATCTTTATGACAATTAAAATCTATTAACCTAAAAAAGTTAAAATTTATCTATTTTTTTTTTTTTAGTTTTATTGAAAGATGCTTTCACATTACGAGAAGGTAATATTAAAAATGGTACCAAGGTGATGTTAATGGGTAGTTCACAACAGGAAATCCAAAATTTAAAAGAATCTGAATCAAAGTCGTCGTCGATAAAACACGAATCAAAATATGCGATTAACGTAACTATTAGAAATACAATTTTCTTTTTTTCTTTTCTCCCCTCTTGTTAACTTATTTATTTAAAAATACATATTTTTGTACATAATGATTTTTAGCCATATAAAAATTTGAAAAAATTTCAAGGTTTAAATTCACAGAAATACACGTTTCATCAAATAAGAGTAATTGAAAAAATTCCAAAATCTGAAAAAGCACATGAAATACTTGAAAGGTTACGCGATGATCGAGGGATAAAAGCCATAATGCAAAAATATAAATTTTCAGTTGGAACGTTGCAAGAGATGGATTTTTCTAGAATGTTTCTATCATCTAATAATACAAAATTATTGGGATATAACGTCAACAAAGGAGAATCAATTTCGTTGAGATTGAGAACTGATGATTTGCAAGGATTCAGACATTATGCTGATATTAAAAAAGTTTTATTGCATGAGTTAACACATAATGTTTGGGATGGACACGATGAAAATTTCCATCAACTCAATAGACAACTTAATAAAGATGCCGGTAAGTTTAATAATAACAATAATAATAATGTTGTTAATATTTATTTTTTTCTGCATTTTTAATTTAATTTGCTATAATTTATATAAATAGTCTCATTAGATTGGACTTTATCAGATGGCAAAAAACTTTCCAATGAGGAGTTTTATAATCCATCAGAACAAGAAGGGATTGATACTAGATCATGGCAAGGTGGTGCTTATGTGTTAGGCGGTGATACTGAACGTGCTAAAATACTTTCTAAACGTGAACTTTTAGCTGAAGCTACATTAATGCGATTAACGAAAGAAGAGAAAGAGTTGGACGAAAGCTGTGGGTTTGGATCCAACCCTTCATCTGAATCTACGTTTGAAAATCATTAAGAAATAATTTAATTACAATAGTACAAGAAAAAGGAAAAAAAAATTGAACAATCCATAAACATTTTATTATTATTATTTGAACTATAATTTATTTTAAATTAACTAATTAATCATCATTCATTAGCATGCATAGTAAAATCATCATTATCATAATATAATATAATATAATAAATAAAAAATCATTTATTCTTCATGTCAAATTTTTTTATTAATTTCTTTCAAAAGATTTTTATTTTTCCCCGAAGCGGGCGGGAGTCGAACCCGCAATCCCCAGATCCGAAGTCTGATGCCTTATCCATTAGGCCACCGCTCCTGTGACATCGTTGTTTATCTTTATTTTCTTCTATAATTTATTTATTATTCAAGACATGATTTTCTGCGGAAATAAAGTAAAACCATGTCGGATCATGTAACGAGAATCTAACTTCTTAAATCAAATTATTGAATTTTAAAGAAACTAACTAAAAAGATAATTAAAAAAATTAATAAAGCTGGTGTTTTTGTAATTTTATGTTATTGTTTTATTATTGAAGAAAAAAGAAAAAGAGAGTTTACCTTTTCTAAAAATATATTAGCGCAAGCGAAAAAATTAAACATTAAATCTTCAATTAATTCGAGTGTGCTTCTGGAACTGACAATATTAGAAAGTAATGTTCTTTGTTGTGCTTTTCTTGTCGTTATTATCATGATCTCTTTTCACAAGATTTTTTCTTATAAACAGGACCACAAACTCGATTATCATCTACTGTTATTTTTTCTCCCATTTAATAATAGCATAGTTTACAGTAAATACAAAACAACTTTGTAATTACCAGGATTCTCTTCAGTCACCAGTTTTAGATTCATTATATTAAAAAAAAATTATTATTATTATTATTATTATTATATTATCTGAAATATCTGAATTGAAAAAGCGAAAATTTAAAAATGATTTCCAGAGATCATCATCATCGATTAAAAATCTAAAATGACAACCAACACTGATAATAACAACGATGTTGTTGTTGATGATAATGAAAACAACAACAAGAGCCTCTCATCCAAAATTATATCAAGAACCAAAATTTCTAATGAAGATTACAAAGTGGTTCCCCCATTAAACTTTGCAATGGTAGCTCCTGGAGTTTATAGAGCTGGACATCCAAATCGACAAAACTTTCCTTTTCTAAAGAAATTGGGGTTGAAATCAATAATGTATATATCTATATCTATATATTACATTTATATGATACAATTAGCATGAATTTAATTAAATATATGTTTTTAATTCTTAAAAGGTATTTATCTGCTGATGACTTTAATGAAGACTTGAAACAATTTGTTGAAGAACAACAGATTAATGTTTTCCACTATAGAATTGAACCTAACAAAGTAAGCAGCAAGCAAGCAATTACAACATTGACAAAAATAATTATATAATATATATATATTGAAAAATTAGTAAAATTTTTTTACGAATGAAAAATTAGGAGCCGTTTGTTGAAATTGAACAGAAAGAACTTAGTAGTGCATTAGTCAAAGTTTTAGGTAATTGGATGGGGATGGGATGAATCATGCATAAATAATAATAATAATAATAATAATAATAATCATTGTTATTTCTTGAATTAATGATAACAATATTTAAATAATCTGAAAAAAAAAAGAAAATTACAGACAAAAGAAATCATCCAGGTATTCAAAAGTAAAAAATTAAAGAGAACAAGAAATAAATAATCATTGACTCTAATTTTGGAGTGTGGGAGAGAAAAAATTCTAATTAATATTACACACACACATATATTTTTTAATCTATCTTTTGACTGCTTAGTATTAATTCATTGTAATAAAGGAAAAGTATGTGTAAAAAGACCGTCTTTGTTTTTTTTTTTTGTCATAATAATCAATCTTTGGAATATTCTTACATCTTACTTATATCTTTAACATATTAGCATAGAATAGGTTGTTTAATAGGATGTCTTCGTAAATTACAAAAATGGTCAATGACTTCGATATTTGATGAATACAAAAGATTTGCTGGCACAAAAGCTTTGGCTGATCAAGAGGTATATATATTATAAAAATCTTATTAACGAACAAAAAAAGTATCTATTTTTTTTTTTACCTTCCATTAATTATTACATCACACATAGTTTATTGAAATATTTTCAGAAAGTGTTCCTTATGATCAAAAACATAAACCTGACTGGCTATAATTATAACGATTATAATTATAATAATCAAATAAATATATTTACAAAAAAAATATCAAGGTAGGTAAAAAATATGTGTAATAAATAAGAATTTTTTATTTATAATAATTAAAGTTCAAAATTTTTTTTAAAAAATTACTTTCTCATCTAATTCTAAATTTTCTAAATGGTAATTTTTTCTTCCAAAACATTGAATATTTATTATTAATCTTCATTTAAATATTCAATCAAATATTGTGGAATTTCTTTTTCCAGTCTTCTCGTATCTGTACTAATACTCTTAATATATTCTTTTAGTGAATTTTTTAATTTTGGATCTTGTTGTGATAATACTTCTATTATATGAGCTTTTGGTAATGCTAATAAAAATGAAAAATTATTTGATTGTATCTATACAAAAAACAAAAAAATTTATGTGTTATTATTTATTATTGTACAATTAACTTATATTTAACAATATATAATATATTATACAAATAATGGCAAACCTTAAGACAAAACTCTGCACAATATAAAATAAACCCTTTACGTAACATGTCATTATCCCATATTTGATTAATATGACGTATCAATAATTCATTCACAAAACTTGAAATAGTCTTGAATGAACGAACACTTAACGTTACCTATTAATAATAATATTCACTACTATTAATATTATTGCGAGAGATTTCTTTTTGAAAAAGAATACTAAATAAAATCACACATACAGTTCTCATAAATAAAGTAGGCATTTCAGACATTATTGATAAATTATGTAGTACTGCTGCTAAAACTTGAGATGTAAAAATAGTTGGTAATAAAAAACAAATATGTATTCCTAATTATAAATAAATGAATAAATAGATTATTCATTATTAAAAAAAATATATATATGACGTTATTTGATTATTTACAAAAAAAAAAATTTATTATTATACCTTCAGCCAATTGTTTTAATGGAACTGACATCTTATGGATTGCCACTAGTAATTCTATTGGGGTCACTGTTGAATTCGTAGGATTTGTAGAACCATGAGATGGTGTTAAAATTTTATGAAAAACTTTTTTAACAAGATCACGTTGTTTTTCACTGGCATCAAGTGTTAATAAAACTTTTGGAAGATGTTTTAAAATATCTTCCTGAAAATAAAAATAAATTTTTTAAATAATGATTAATTTATAGCATACCAAACAAAATCCAAACCATTTTATTTTACAGCTTTCTCCTTGATGCCAGTGATCAT